ATGTCGTTGGAATCCTTGGTTCATGCCGAAAAAAATGCATGCCTCAGATTTGATCGTGAGCCTGGCGAAATTTTCGGGTATTTAGCATTTTTTGCAAAACCTACTTTTGCGAACTAGTCCTAGGTTTTTCGCCCGATCGGAACCAAACCAGTGCAGAAAGATTCTCTGGTGAGTGAATCTCAATAATTATCACAAAAAAAAAAGTTGAACTTTCGACTCACTGTGGCAAAGGGACGCCAAAACGTTCGAAGGGGACGGGGCCACTTTTAGTAAAATGCCTATAACTCCTAAACGGAATGAGATCCATTCACCAAACTCGGACCACTTATGTAAGAGCTCAAGCTGAGGTCACAGGAAATAAATCGCGGAGATTGGCCACTTGGTGGCGCTATAAGAGGGAAAAAACTTAAAAATGGCTATAACTAGGCAACCATTTGTCCTATCAACATGAAAATCGCTGTGCATGGTCTTGGTCCAAAGTGCCACAAGTGTATATGGGGACATTTGCGTATCTAAAAAAAAACATGGCCACCATTGGCCGATGAAGTCTGAGCATCTATTAGACAAGGTTAACGGAGGCCGATCGCAACGAAACTCGGTGGGCCTGTTTGACTCACGGCTCCAAAGGTCTGTGAGAAATTTGAAAGAAATCGGCAACTGGGGGGTGGTATCACATTTTTTGAGGGCGTAAACGATTGTGCATTGCACGGTTTTCTGCACATACACGCGATATTTGTATCGTATGATAGACCTCCTCATTCCGAACAACTTTGCCTTTAGAACCACTGCTGTCAATCAAACGGCTTTTTAAATGATTGAGAAGATGTGAAAAACCTACTTTTGCGAACTAGTCCTAGGTTTTTCGCTCAATCTGGAAAAAACCACCGCAGTGCAATTCTCTGGATTGTCTAGGTCAATAATTATCTTAAAAACATGTTGAAATTTAGGGAAGCTATAACGGGGTCCTTTAGAAAAGGGGCCTGTCCAAATATACCCAGAAGCCTATAAAGCCTAAACAAAAACTCAAAACTTCACGAAACCCAGTGAGCACATGCGACAGATGATTCTAAACAAGCATGCAAAGTTTCAGGGAGATCGGACCACAGCTGGTGCTGTAACAGCCATAAGTGTCGAAAAACATCATATTTCTATGTAAGTCACCTGGATTTGCCAAAAATGCTTTTTTAATAATTTATTAATTTTAATACTTGAACCCCCGGTAATCGCTGCTTGCAGCTATACTATTTTTAATCTTAATATATTCTTATAGTATTTATCATATTTATTAGTATTTTAAATTAGCTTATATTTTTATATTTTAAGATTTTATTTTAATTTTAGTGTTTTCAGTAAAGATGCTCTTTTGTCATTTTTTTCAGTTTTTTCCAGTTTTTTTCAATATTTCTATTTTTCATTTCTGTTTTACTTTTATTATAGTATACTTCAGACTTATTTTATAATAGTATACTAAACTTATTTTAACTTATTTATATATAAAAAAGCATATGTAATTTTCATTCAAGTTTTTCATTTCATATTTATATTTTATTTTATATATTTATATTCAGCTTTATTTCAATTGCCAAAAACAATTTTTAATGGTATTAGTTTTAGTTGTAGTTCACAATATCAACACTGATGTTTATGTCACGTATATTTTAAAAGTTATGAAAGCAAAAACTAACTTGCTTCCTTGGAATTTGCAAAACATTTCTTTCAATTCAATATTGTGTGTTAAAGATAGATGAGATGAAAGATAAACCGTCAAAGTTTTACAATTTTTCATGGAAAAAGGAACAATATTATTAATATATATTTATTGATATTATTAATGGCATTGAATTTAGTTTGTCATACCTTGGTTAAATGGATAGTTTTATATCAAGGCCCTTTGAGGACTCATATAATATGCACTTGTGACACAAAAGCTTTTAATTAATTTAAATGAGTAATTATAATGCATTCCATCATGCTGTCTAAAAAAGTGGTGTTTTGCAGTGAAAGCCAACCAAAGGGACAGCGTGTACCGAATGACCTAAGGTCGGCTCACTGAGTGCTTTGATTGAGCCGGCATGTTCTGATTGCAGCCTCAGTTCAATTACATACTCGGGGTCAAAGGTTTCGCCAGTCATTACACACACACACACACACACACACACACATACACACCATGCATAATACCGGGTGAGCGAGCGGCCATTGATTCTGGTGTCTCTGAGGTTTCCGCTCTTTTGCTGATTTCCTCAATCAATACAGATTAAACATTCCACAGCACTGGGAGAACAGACATTGCATTGTCATTGCATTGCATTCATACATATTAAAGAACCATATGCAAATTATTTTTGAGGTCTCAAAAAAACAAGAGATATACTTTTCAAGATTAAAAAAGTATTGTGACAATTCCTGCTTGCCAAATTGTGACTGGATTATGTTCATAGTTATTTGATGAACTACAACTGAACTGCAATTTACAACATTATTCCCTGTAATCCAGAGCCTCAGGTAAACGGTCTGGAGTGATATCTGGTTTATGAAGGAATCATTCTTTTGAACCGGTTCTTTTTGATGCATTGTGTTTTAAAATGTGTTCAGATTTTAAAAGTTGTGTGGTGTATTCTAGGCTAAAGGAGAATTGATGCCACTTGGTTTGATATATTACCTAGGTTAGTTTTTTTTTACTTGTTTTTCTCAGACGCATACATATACGGATTTTTGTTCAGCAAAAAACAGTTTTTCCTTCTCGACTTTGACTGAGGGCAATTAAATATTTTTGTGTATATATTTGTAATTTTAATGAAGACCTAGTATGATATAATTACCACAATGCATCCTTTTGTTTGGGGATAATTAATTGGAAGTCATTTATTCAGCCAGTATTTAATGATCAATTTTCCTAATATAATTTTGAAAAAGATGTGAGATACGAGTGCAATGGTCAAACACATTTATCTAGCACGTACACATAAAAAAAAAACAATGGGAAAGCAATGTAATTTAATGCAAATGTATTCTGTGAACGCCAGTAAAATGTCCTTTCTTTTGTATGCAACATTGGAAGATGGATTCATTTTAGTAAATTGGTTTGAGTACATGTAATTTGTAACTAACAGAGACCCATTTTGTTTGTTATATTGCAAAGAAAGAAAGGGAAAGAAAGACTTAGTGACCACTCAGACTGCAGAATGGATTTCTGTGGACTCTTGGCTTATGTTCGATGATATGGAAATAAAACTTCATTTTATTGTAGACGAGTGTGTTTATTTAATCCTGACAGTCATATTTCAAGGACATATAAGGACTGCTTACCTCATTTCAGAGAGACAATTCTTCTGCCACCCCTCCTCTTCCTCCACATCCCCTGCTTCATTTCTTAGCACCTCTAATATTAAATTCATGTCTATTTATATTTCTTTAAATATAATATATACAGTAATATACAGTAACAAAGCATTATAAATCATTTGCAAACAAACTAATTAATACTTTATAAACTGTAGTTAATATATTAATAGACTGTATACAAATAGTGAGTTTTTTATTAATTGTCACAGTAATTATCATAGTGTTATTGTTTAATAAGCTCATACGTATAGAATTTTATATTTTTTATGCTTTGTTAGCAACTTATTAACCATAAATAGTTCTCACTTTAGGTCACAGGTCATCAGAAAAATGTCATTAGTTAAGTGCTTTAAACCAATCTTCATTGGACATTAATTGCATTCATATTCAGTGTTTCTTAAAAAGTTGACAAAATATATTAAGCACGCACACATGCTGGGTTTCCATGTTTTTATATGTTTATGTTTAATGTTTAGCTTCTGGAATGGGCTTTTTGTATTTTCTGTTTCTGTATTTTTTGGAATGTATTTTAACGACCCCTTAATACTAATGCTAATTAGTAAATGCAATCCAATAATAGTTCATTTAATGCATTTTCTGATTTTCCATGACCTAATCTATAGTGAGAACTATTAATAAGCATTATCGAACTTTTTACATATGAGCTAATTAAAAAATAACACTTAATTACTGTGACAATGAATGAACAACACACTATTTGTATATATTAACTATATTTACTTTAAACTAACAGTTTGCAAATGATTAGTAAATACGTTCTTACTACATACTTATTATAAAGCTTTACCCATATAACTTCGGATTTCTGTTATGTTTTAGACAGGTAGAGCTTTATAGCTCATGATCAACAGAAGTGTCAAACGCTCTGTGGCTGAACTGACTCTTTATCGGTTTATCGGCTCTTTATCTTCAATTCCCTGCCATTCATTAGTCTGTAATGTGCGGCGGGAGGTTACCTCTTCCTCACGCCTGCAGTCACAATAACAGCCTTCAGCCTACAATTACATAGTCAGTGTCAATCTTGAGGGAAAACACTGCGTCGGAAGAGAATTGCATTAGAGTTTATAGGTACAAGAGGCATTTTTCTGCCTCTACTGTGTACTAGAATATGATTTTCACAATGCAATCTAATATCTAAATTGAATGTAGATGAAAACTAGAAACGAATGCATGTGGCAGAAAGGTTTTAAACGTCATTGCTAATCATTATTGATCCACCAATGATTAGAAACAGCGTCTGTGAGATCTACGTCATTGGTAACCTAAAGAAATTATCTTTTCATGAGGACGAATTGTCTTTTTTGGTCACACTGTGTGGGCAATGTGCTTTCTATTCCTGGCCGGTGCTTTTACGCCAGAGTTTCCATGGGAATTGAGGTGGCGAAAGCTTTCTTAAATGTCAACATTTAATAATTAGCCAATCAAACGTACTTTAAATGCATTAAATGTGCAATTAAAAGCATTCCTTCACTCACAATGATGCACCTGTAATGTCTTCTGGAAAAGAAATGTCTTATCGTCTATTGTTAGTCATGTTGAATCGCCTTCAAGGCTGTGACACTTATCAGTGTTTTCATCGTTCCATACGATCAAATGATTTTCACTAATTCTGTGTCTTCTCTCTGTTCCCACAGCAACGGGTTGGCGAAGAGGATTGCTCTCATCAGCTTCCTGTCACTGGTCATGCTCATGAGCGTCCTGGGCAACCTGCTGGTTATGGTGGCCGTCTGCAAAGACCGGCAGCTCAGGTCAGAAACGGCCCGTCTCCGCCCACCGCTCTCCACTTATCTGTCAGCCCAGGGGAAAACAGCCCTTTTTAGCATTTCATTTGTGGAGCTCGAGTGAACTGACATGACTTCAAGGAAATTCTTACTGGATGGATATTTTCTGCTTTTCCAGGGTTTAAACGTTAGCTGAGTGGCACAAGCCGTTCTTGTTATGCGGTATCAACTTAAATAACTGAATTCAAGTGCTTCTATTATAAACTATAGCAAAGATCAAGTTTAGACTTTATTCAAAATGAACAGGATTAAAGATAAAGAGCTAAAATTACTCAGTGCTCAGTTAGGGATTGGGTTCGCTTACATATATGAACAGATTTTCTTGTAATTTTGTCAAACAGATGGAATGTTTTGTTTTAATTAGGATGTTTATAAACCAGCGAATGCCTCAAACCTGAGAGAATTCATTAAATCCATACTGTTTCCTGACTAAAAGTGATGTCACGTCCTGGAGGAGGATGTCTTTGTTGGTTAAAGGATTTTACGAAAGACTAATAAGATGAAAAGTGACCTTTGGAAAAAAATATACAGTACATTGTAGGACTGGGTAAAAAATATTGATATCTTGGTATTAATCGATTCTCATTTTTACGGAACGATATTGATTCTTAAATCCCAAGAATCAATAAGTCTAGCCTGTTTTCAGTTAATGGACGGAACAATGAAGGGTACTTCCCATCCAATATATCGCAATAAGCATTGTACTTTTCATATGAAACAAAGTCTCAGATTTCTAATTCTGTCCATTGTATTGCATTATTCAAACAATAAATGCCGTTTTGGCGCTGTTTAATGTGAAGTGACAGATCGCTGTAGCGCCTCAGATAAACAGACGCGGTAGAACTGATCATCTCCTCCACATTAATACCAGCTTCAGCACAAAATAAACATGACTAAACATCCGAAGGTAAGTTAAAAGAAAGAGTACAACTTTACAATCTGTATCCTGTCTCATGTAATCGCTCAATCAGTGTTTCAACTGCACAAAGACGTCAATATAACGTCTTGTAAACAATGTCACGTAACGGCACATTGTCATTTACCTCAGAAAAACATATTCGGTGACCATAAACTCATTAGTCAGATAGAAAAGTAAACGGTAGAGAGGGGCATTTTGCTGAATATATGCACCAAATAACATGTTCATTATAAAATTTTACTGTTCTTCAATGTTTAATTTATGTTTGAATAAATCCATCAAGTTTTTATGACAGCCACCATTATGTTTATATAAAAAAAAACTAATGGAAGTAGAAATATTATTATGTAATTGTAACTTTATTATTTTAAAAACTTCATTAAATGTAATTTTAACAAATCAGTCAATTTGAACCTTTAATATTATAGTAATGTAGTACCAACTGACTCATGTATATTTTACAGCATTAGTTGAGAGATTTTTTTTCCTTGAGAAAATTTGGCATGTACTGTACCTGATATATATCCGAAATAATCGATATTTAATCAAATCGAATCGAATCGCAAGCTTGTGAATGAGAATCGAATCGAATCGTGAAATTTGTGTCAAAACCCAGCCTTACAGTAGTACATTGCAGTCAATGTACTGTATTTTTTTTTTCAAAGGTCACTAAAAATTGTTTTTAATCGATTTCTTCTATTTTTAATCACAATTTATGATTTTTCATCAAATTGTTTGTGCACTACAGAACCCCTAAAGGGAAAATGGGAGGAAAAAATATGTTTCAATGCTTTCTCTCGCAATTATGTCATTGGGTAATCATATTGTATATAAATTGCGAGCATCAGGGAGCCGTTATTAATATGTGGGGCACTGAAATCGCTTTTGAATGCGCGCTCGCTTTTTACTTTAACTTTCGAGATTCGCGAGCACACGTACTGTGAGTAAACTACAGAGCGGCAGTAACATTTTTACCTACTACACATTTTCCAAGATTAGGTGCCCTATTTTAACGATCTAAGCGCATGGTCTAAAGCGCACGGCGCAGGTGCACTTAGGGCGTGTCCAAATCCACTTTTGCTAGTTTAATGACGGGAAAAATGGTCGGCACGCCCAGCGCATGGTCTAAAACGGTTGTCCTTATTCTCTTAAAGGGGTCATATGATGTTGCTAAAAAGAACATTATTTGGTGTATTTGGTGTAATGAAATGTGTTTATGCAGTTTAAGGTTCAAAAAACTAATTTTCCACATACTGTACGTTATAGTTTCTTCTCTGCCTTTCTGAAACGCGTCGATTTTTACAAAGCTCATCGGTCTGAAAAGCGAGGT